CATGATCTGGTGGCCATCTTCCTGTCTCAGTTAACAAGTGATCTTTTCTATTAACAGAATGCCCCATGCTGTTATTTCCTTTGAAATATTATCACGTGGTTTTCTCTTCCAACTTTTTGCCATCAAGGCAGCGAGCACCTTAAAGCTATCAGAAGGAATGTTTGTTGTTTAGCATTTCGGTTGGCTACGTTTCTTTGGGAGACCGAAAGACTGTCAGTAGATCCCTTGGCTATTTCACTTTTGGTCTATTCATTAGGTGATTTAAATTTCTTGAGCAGTAATTTTCTGCACAGGTTTCCATTAACTATGTTAAAAGTCCACACTCCAATAGTTTTGTTCCCCATCTTTACTTCCTTCTTCTTTAAACCTTCAAGCTATAATGCTGCAAAAAGTGAGGAAGGTGGTGGGGTGACTCTTTACTGCATCACTTGTGTGAAACTTAGAAGTTCAGCAGCAGAATTTTATTTCTATGTACTGTGAAAATCAGATGCCACAGAAAACTTTGAGCCATCAGAGTCCAAGAAATGCAGTCCCAAAGGGCATTAAATAATGTCAGAAAGGTCTGTAAACTGTCTCAGTAATGGGATACATTGCTGGAGTATAAGGATGAAAAGAATCCAAATGACCAGTATCACAAATCATAGTGTGGACATGTTGAAGTGGATTTATGTAAGTGTGTACTTTCACAAATTTGTATTTTCAATTATATCGTACCTGTGTAGAGATTAACTTGGAATATGTTTTTAGTCTTATAAGATTAGTAATGGATCCCTTGAATAGGAAATGGATTTCCATATAATGTTCTAGTCACCTTTTTGTGAATGAGGCTTTTTAAGAAAGTCCTGCATGCTAATTTTAAAGGCATGTTTATCTTTACAAAATTTCTCTGCTCATGTCAAGGCCCGGATTTTCTTTAGCTGGGTCTAAGCAAAGAGGGAAACCATTTTTGGCTTACAAAGTTATTCATAAGTGGCGGTAGTCTATTTCACAGATCTTGTTTTGGTTTGTCATCTTGGTCTTGCCCAGAGAACTTTTTGATCCTGTTTATTCTGTGGGTGAGGAAAAAATGTAATGGTATCTTCTACTTCATCTTGCATTTTGTCTCCTTTTAGTCTCTAATGAGCCACTTCCCTGCTCAATGTTGTGTATTGTGTGCTATAATGATCTGAGAAATCTGAATAGCCAGTAACTGTCTTTTTCCTGCACAGTCTGATTCAATTTATATGGATGAGAAATTCTGAATGGTAAAGATATGATTGTTGCATAGAAAGGGCAAACCTCGGATTAGGGGAAAGGCTGGAGAATCAGAAGTGCTCGGCACATCACTCCCTTGTGTGCTGTTGGCTTCAGAAATAGGTATCCCAATGGGCTGCTAGGCTAGAGAACATCTTTGACCTTTTTTCTATCAAGAGGCATTGCTGACACAGTGACTTTAATTATATCTCCTTTCTTTTGAGTTTTAATAATGTTTGCAATATATTTTTCAGACACTAGATGACTGCTTTCTGTATAATTTATAATTCTGTGTGTTTCATGGTAAACAACGGAGCCAAAGCCAGAATTCCCTTTGTGCTGACACCCACTTTTGTCTGTGGTTGAAGCTGTCAATTTAATAAGTAACTGAAAATTAATGTTTCTGTGAAAAAATTCTACCCAGAGACAAACATGTAGCATATGAAATATCAAGGGATTGACTTTTTTGGATTAAAGTTAGGAGAGTGGGTTTTAAAATTAGATTTATAATGGGAAGCTAGCTTCCAACGTAACTAAAGTGACATAAGAGCTCGGACTGACTTGTAATTCATAAACAATTTAACATATTGTTGTCATAGTCTAATCCTTTTTCAGGAAGAACAGGTGCAAACTCTTAGGATTTCTTTTCTTAAAAAAGTTTAATCAGATTGGTACATACTGGATGCATCTACATACGGATTTTAATGTGCAGTAGACTTTTACTGCACATTAGTGTCATGTAAAAAATTGTGACATTACACTAATGTGCAGTAAAATAATCTACTGTGCATTAAGCGTTACTAAAAAAGCATGCAAATGCATTACTGTGCATAGCCTAATGTGCATTAATTTAGTACCTCATATTGGAGGTACTAAATTTTAATGTGCATTAGAAAAGGCACATTAATGCAGGTGTAGACATGCTCACTCTATGTAAATTGAGTTGTCATGCATTTAAACCATATACTGATTAACCTGCATCAGAGTTGGTAAAATAACATAACTTCTTACTGGGATTTTTTTACTTTTTATCTAGCCCCTTTTTGTATAATTCTAGGATCATTGCTAATTACGACACAGGGATGGGCTTTAATAGAATAACCTCAAATATGTTGCAGTCTTAAATAAGGGATACCAGTTTAGTCGTACAAGATAATGCATGGATAGGTGGCCACCTTTAAATTTTTGCCCTACTAGAATCCTTGTTTTAATTTCCCTAATGTTACTGTATCACTTAAATCTTTGGGCTTTTGATAGTTTTGGGCTTGAAGCTTTAATTTAGAATTGTTATGTCATTTAATATGTATTTGAGAGTTTGCTTTGAGTTGTTCATTTTTTTCATCATAGAGTATTTAATGTTTTGCACATGGGGTGTGCTGAATATATTTCACTTTAAGTGGTGACATTGTTGATTGCATTAGAGACGAGGGCTACTTGAATTACTGATGCCATTCCATTTGGATAATTCAGTCCATAACTTTTTATTCGTGCTCTGTATTACATTTATAAAGCTGAATCTGCTACTGAAATTCATGTTCACTTTCTAGCTCTACTCTGGGCACAATTTTTTTTTCTTCATTGCAGAGCTAATGGAGAACCTTAATCATAAGGTCACAAACTTAGCTAAAGTACAGGGCCAGATCCTGAAATTACTTCACTGTTTTAGCATGATCCTTGTTTAGGAACAGTTGCCACTGAAGCCAATGGGTACTTAGCTTTCATAAGAACTTGTTAAGGAATTCAGGCTTTAGTCCATAAGTACCAGGGCATGAATTCTTGCTTATGCTTGAAGCCTAAAAGTCTGAAGCCATTTTCGAACACGGATCCCATCATGCATTTATTTCCCATTCTAATTTGCAGAAAACTGGTTGTGAAAACAGCCCAAAGGACTTAAAGTTTTTCCACGCCAGCTGTTCCAGCTGAACTACAGCTGCAAATTAAAAAAAAAAAAAAAAAAGATTGTTTCTATAAACTGTTGAGTATATTTTATAACGGCAATAATTCCCACAAAATCAGTTACTGTAGTTAATGACTGGTTTGTTAAGGCATTAACTGCCCTCAGCTGGGAATGACCAATTTCTCTGGAATGGTTGTATAAGTACTAAGGATAATTTAGTAACGCTTTCAAATAATGATTTGGTTAATTAATGGTAAATTCTTGTGGAAATCCTATCAAAGTACTTATGACCTCCACATTTAATATCCAATGAGTTCATCATGATTCATGTTTATTGCCATAAATACTGAAGAAATCCACAATAACTAGGCCATTATTTTCCATGCCTGCCTTTACTGCTTTAGGCAATTTGGCTAATCCACCTTCAGTCATTAAGTGCCCGATTCTCAAAACTACCAGTCTTTGCAAGGCATAATATTGGCACATTACCAAACTTTGGTGATTTTTTTTTTTTTTTTTACGCACAAATTGTTGGCAGATTTTTTTTCCTAGCTAGGGGAATAATTGATGCCTACTGTACAACTCATAAGGAAGTCTTTAGCAGTGACTGGATTTGCATATGTAGCCTCAGGCTGTGGTCTAAAATAGTAGAAAAGGTACCGCACCCTATTCCTTTATGGCTCCCATACTTAAGAATAGAGCTCTTCTTTGCCTTGGTTCATTGTGGGTTTGGGACTTTTTGCAGCCAAGGTCTGAAATAATGGTTGACTCAGAGTTTAATTTGGCAACAATCAAATGAAAATAATATAACACAGGATGCCCTTGCTCAGCTCAGTCTTTTAAGGTCCTAATAAGACCTTAAGATCCACTACTCACAGTATCCATTTTAAAGAGTCAAAGCCATTCAGACCAAAGACAGCTGGCTTATCTGTGCATCAAGCATTAGACTAAAGTATAGCATTGAACCTATGCTGGTTTGTAATGCCAATCCCTGAAAGTGTTCCATGTTCTTTAGGTAAATGAACATTGGGAAGCAACAGCAAAAATAAGTATGTCTGCTTAGGGCTTATATTAAACTGAGGCACAATAGTCTGATTTCATAGAGAAACTGCCACTTTCTGTGATCTTTATGAGGAGGAATTGATCAGTGATGGCTGCCTCAAAGTGTTAGTGTTTTGCCAGCATCTCACTATTTCCAATTTAAATATGGGTGCAAACTATGGTATCACTACTATTGTGTGGAGTAACTGTGAGTAAGTGTTGATTTGGTGACCTCTATCCTGATCTGGCGCATAACAGTGTCCAGAGAAGTGCATTAATCTCACCTATTGTCAAAAAGCGAAGAACTATGGAAATATAGGGCTGGAAGGAACCTCAGGAGAATATTTTGCCCCGGTAGACTCTTAATATTATTTTTGTTAAACTAGTTAATTATATTAGCCAGATGTCTATTTATAACCAACAGTGCAATAGACACTATTGATTTCCTAGCTGGCAATTTCTACAAAGGGTAAGTTTTGGAGTGAGACTGAATTCCCTTTTCAGTACTAGAGAGTAGAACCCTGCAACGGATGGGGAAGCATTAATTTCCAGATGGTTGCTTTGGGGAAACTGGAACTGCCTGTGCCCAGCCTGTCAGTGTTCTGGGGGTAAAGTCTTTGATTCTCAGAATGATAGCCCAGAACCTTTTGCTAAAATCTCTCACTCTTTTCTTGTTTAAGAAAAACTGTTTTAGTGATGTAGAATTTAAAAGCTATGTTTCTTATAATCTTAAAGAATTGGATTTGAAATCCTGAATTAACAGGAATATACAGTAACTAAAAAGTTAAGTTTTTGTTGTTAACACTGAGTTTTGTGTCTTTTTTTCTAGCAAATGAGAGCTACAAGCAAGTAGCAATGTGTATTCTGTATCACATAAGTATGGATGATCGCTTTAAATCAATGTTTGCATACACAGACTGTATACCACAGGTATGTGTTTTTCTTGGTGATGCATTTACAGATGCATTCTCCCCCTCTTTTCCACTCCCTCCCCCTCAACTAAACATAACATTTGTTCCCTTCCCTCTAGCTTGTGGTGACACCTGCAGGTGGTAATGGGAACAAGTGATTCTACCTAAGCAAATTAACAGCTCTTAATTAATAAGATGACTTCACTATACTTGCTAACTTTAAGCAATCCTCCATAAAAGGAAAAGGTCAGCAGATCTTTTTCTACCAGTGTCTGACAAATGAGACGCATCACTTTCTTGGTGGTATGACAACCAGATGAATGCCCAGCAGAAGACTGCAATGGTGAAAGGAGATTAAAATGGGTTCCCTGTATATTTCTGGCATGTCTCTTGGAGAATTTCGCTTCTGTAGGTATAACAGGTGTTCCTTTCCAATTCCATTTAGAATCAAAATGTCAGTGTCTACTGCATTATAGGATATGAAATGGATATCAGCCAAGCAAATGCTGCACCACTACATGGACTGACAATTCCTATTCTGATTGAAGTCATGCAGCATAAGGAAAAGGCAAAAATTGTATAGTAGGGAAATAAACCCTTGTTTACTGAACTTTATAGGCTAAAGACTAGTCTTACACCTCTTGCTGTCTCGCCTTGCAGCTCAACTTGGGCACAATAATCAATAAAAACAATTTTTTGTTTAAAAATAAGTTATTGGTGCTCTTAAACAGCTATATAAACTGTTTATTCTGGGCAGTTATTGAGGCTAGAGTTGAGACCAGAGCCTATAATACACAAGTATAAGAAGCCCTCCAGTAGCTTTTTCAGAATTGCACCACAGCATTTTCATTCCTGCCAAACATGTTTTTAACATCAAACATATCCAGGATGGGAAGTTGCCACGGAAAGTTTTAAGAACATTTCTAGTCATTATTTCATAACAAAAATTGTTATGTTTTTCCAAATTGGGAAGGAGGAGAACAGGGGATGGAGAGGAAGAGTAAGATCTAATGGGAATAGCTAGTGTATATTACAAAATACTCTTGTCGACATCCTGCTGATTGTTTTTGCCACAAGATAGAATTTTATGTTAGGAAGCCTGGGTGATAAAAGGGACCTCTTTCTGAATTTTTGCCTGCCAAGCCAGAGGTCTTGCTTTGTGGTTTGGGGCTCAGTTGTTATGTACTTACAGGAAATATTGGCATTGTTCTAGAGTCTCCAGTGCCAAATGTAAAGAATCATGGAAATTCAATAATGTCACACTCTGAGCATTTAAATGATATCCTTGTTCTGATAGGCATTGGCTGTTCAAAGTAATGCTTATAAGGTTTGATCCAAAGCCCAGTGAAGTAAATAGTAAGACGCCCATTGACTTCATCGGGCATCAGATCAGGCCTGTAATGCCTACTAATTTTAAGGAAGTCTGAGACCATTATGAATGTTTACCTCTCTTATTTAAGTACTTCATCAGACTATGTCTGGAGACCCTGGTCATCAAAACATATATTTTGATTAGCCAGTTAGTTTAGATGCACATGCATGTACATATTGACAGCAGGTCACAAGTAAAGTTAATAAGCAATACAAAGGTCAGAGACAGAGCTCTGGGGTGATAATGATGAGGGAATGTCCTTTCAAAAGCCTTCGTGACCTATTGTGAAGAGGTTTATAGGCCTTGCACACCAAAGAAGGAGTTAGACATATTAAGATCCAGCAGCAACCCACATGGCTCAAATAGTCAATTGGGGTCCAAGCCCAGGTGCAGTCAGACAATAAAAGGAGAATGCATGCAGTTAAAAAAGGGGCTGAGAGAAGCTCCAAATATCTAGGCTCGAGGCAACTACCCAAAAAGGGGCATGCGGAATGTTTACACAGAAGAGGTCTAATGGCACTTCCCTTTCCTCACTTTTCTATTTGAGAAAAATCATAAAGTTGAAAATGTCCTAGGGTCCAAATATGAGTATTGTGGAAAGTGAACTGTAACTGGCTCAAACTCCATCTTAGACTGCTACTAGAAGGAACATCCAAGCATTTGGGGAAGAGGAGGAAAGAGAAAGCTGCTAAACAGTTGTGGGAATTAAAATGTTAGAAAATAATAGTAATAGTTATTTATCCTTCTAATAAATACTTTTTTTTTCCTAATGGAAATCCATGTCCTCCACCCCTCCCCTGTCCCCTCTTCCGCACTAAATTGTTTTTAACTGTGGTTTTTATACAAAATGAAAGCGCGATTCTTCACTAATAATAGGGCATTTTCCATTGTGTTGGAGGGCTGTTGGCATGCTTCTCGGATAGCTATTTCATAAACAGAAGGATGGTACCACAACAGCATTCACCCTGCTGTAGTTTATTGCTGCATTAATATTCCACCTCATTTCCATAAGGATTTGAAATAGATCTGGATCATTCTTCACCTATGCTTCCATTAAAAAAATGTGCTGCCTTTCATTGCAGTTAAACTGCAGCCACTTGAAAAATGCTTGTGTTGAATTGCCCTTTGCAGAAGGGTTGCAATATTGTGCAGCTGTAATGGTCCAGGGAATATGCAAGAAGCAAGTTCTGTTTGGTAATTTTTATTGGCTTAACTATATAAGTGAGAGAGAAGTTAGACAAGTTTTGGGGGACAATGTGCTATTCCATAGGTCTGGGTAAATAGCAGAAGCAATGTAAGCTAAATACCAGGTAAAATGGGCTGCTGTAGTGACCCATAGGGACAGTGGGTAGGGAAGGTTAGTGACTGAATAGAAAAGGTGTTGCCAGTCTCTTCTGTCCTCAGCCAGACAAATTCCATGTCTGCAGTCCTGGCTGGTACATCTGGCATGTGCAGTGAGTTGGGAACCTGGCTATGTCGTGCTTGCAGACCAATTGCATGAGTCAGTATCCTTCCTTTGAACATGATCTGAAAGGGGCTGCATTATCCCAGGTAAACATCCTTGTGTATTCCAGGAGTTAATGGGTGCTACTCTAGTAACAGTTAAAAGCAAGTATTAACAGTTGATTCTTGTTTAGACCTCAGCAATGCGTGCTTTGTTTAAATAGGTGCAAATGCCATCCAGATGCTTATAAAAGCATTTATTGGTAATAACCTGGCCAATCAAAAGGCATGGTTAGGCAGTGATGTCATGGTGATATTTAATATTTTACCACAAAGCAGTGTATAAAGATCTCCGCAGCGACCCACATGTTTTCCACCACAATTGTTCCGTTTGGCTCGTCTTTGATCTGCAGGCTTCTTTTTAGCTTAATGCTGGTAAACATCCTCTCTTGACAGCACCTTTTGCTCCTGTCCGCCATTATCTGCTGAAGTTCAGAAACCAGAGCATCACTTCAAACAGCAGAGTTAGGGAGTAGTGGCTCAGAAGAGATTCCTGAGGCATGCAGCTCTGGCATAATCATTCAAAGATGTTAGAGCTGAGGTTGGGGAGGGGGTTGGACAGAGGTGTATGTGAACAGAGAGCTGTGGGGGTTGGCCTCTGGTCACTGGTAAATAAGTGAAGTCAGGTGCCAGAGAGTCTAGACACAGTGATTTCAGTCCTGGGTCTGTGGTATCTGATACTCAATATGGGACTTGTCTGATTGAACACTACTGCCTCTTCATGGCACATGCTGCAGCCTTTTTACTGCCTTCCTGTTAAATCAGTAAAAGATGACAATGGACATAGTAAAAGCAGAACAAATTTAATTTTAATATTTCCTATTTGGCAGCAATTACTCTTCCTTTTGAAGTGGCACGAGGAGCAATCAAATTAAATGAAGACATAATGGGAAACATGGAACTCATACAAAACTATTAGTTTAAAATTTGAACTGGTTTAATTGAAACTGGAAGGGGTTTTTTCCTTTTTAAAGAAAAGTTGCTTGGTAATGAACAATGTAATCCTGTTATGTAAAGCACTCAGTTTACATAGATTTTTGCATCAAGTGTGCTATGCAAATGTTTCTTTTTAACACACACATAATTTGAAGAACTTTTTAATTTAAAGTTTCCTGTCATGAGAATTTCTAGGGGAGAATTTCACCCATTTGTTCTATTGCCAGTCTTATGCTGATTAATTTATGTTCATAATAAATAACAGGCTTATACATTTAATAAAGATTTTTATAAGAAGCTCTTAAAACTAACTAGGGAAATATGATTAGGAGGAAATCAGTGTTAGCTTTTAAATCAACCTGTGAAAGTTCCCTGCAAAAAAAAAAAAAATCATTGCTCTATGACCTAGATATGTTTTTATTTATTTGGCAGTCCCTTTGCAATGACAACCTGATATCTGGCAATGGGTAAACATTTTAAATCACTGCATGAAAATAATACTTTTGTCAAATTTTAAATCACTGCATGAAAATACTTTTGGCAAACTTCCTCACGTGTCTATGGTACAGTTGCCTCTCAGCTGTTGTTCTTTCTCTGAATATATGTAGGTAGCTCCCCACTCCATCTTATGCTTAATTCATAATCATTCAATATGCCATATATATGCTTGTAAGGAGTACTCAGCAAAGATGCAGCTAGTTGGCTTGTTACAATGGTTAGTGTTTTCTTTTGTTGTCCCATCCCTGTCATAGTGATGTCCTGTTATTACATTCTGTCTCTTTCCTATTGAAGATCAACATTTTTAAGGTAATTCCAGCCTTGTAGTTGAGCTACTTTGTGTTATGATCCTAACAGGCCTCACAAACTAAGTAGCTTGATTTTTCTCAGGACTCAATTGAATAATCAACCAGTGCACTACAAGCCTGGGCTTGATTTGACGCTCCCTTATGTGGTGCTCTAAGGGTATTGGCAGAGATGAAAACACAGACTGGTATTTTGATATGGATGGTTTTCATGTACTAGATTGTTTGCTGTAAGTGGGCAAAAATTAGAGTGGGTATGTGAGCTATGATGGAGTAGTGAAGACAGGAACAGATTATTTAGATTAGTGGCAAGCTGTAGGCATTTGGGGGGAATTCAGTAGCAGGTACTACAGGTGTCACCGATTTTTCTATAGCAGCAATGGGAAGATGTATTTTCGGTGGTAAAGGTTAGCAGATGCTGTCAAAGGTAAGTGCAGCCTGTGAGTTGCTGCAGAAGGGATCAGTGCCACATAGCAGAGGAATAATGGCTCAGGGCTTAGGTGTCCCTTCCACTAAGTGCCACTGCAATCTGGTTCCAGTATCTTGTAGGCCAGATTTGGCCTGAGGACCATAAGGTTGTTGTCCCTTAGCTTAGAAAGTGCAAAGAACTCATCACAGCCAGTAGACTGGTGTTAATTTATGGATAAGTACTGAGTACACTCAGTCTACTAAAGCAGCAAAAGTGGAATATAGTAAACCAATTATTTGTAGCACCTTTATAGTCTCTTCCCCACCAAGAATAATACATTTAATACATAAGGACCATATTAAAATACTTGTGGCAGTTTAACCACTCACAATCAATATGTCTTCTCTCACTCACATTTTACCAAACCAAATCCAATTCTTTTAGAAAAAGTGACAGATGATTGCAGTTCTTTAACAATTTTTAACCCTCGCTATCTTCAAATGCTATCTTAGTATTCATGATGATTTATAATGGAGATTAACTTGTAAACAAATGTAAAGAGTATAACTATCTTCAGATCTTCTCTTTTTCTTATGCTTTGGAAAATGTAATGACTTGTGTGTGTTTGTGTGTCTTTAGTTAATGAAGATGCTCTTTGAGTGCCCTGATGAACGTGTTGACCTGGAGCTCATTTCCTTCTGCATTAACCTTGCTGCTAATAAGAGAAATGTGCAGCTAATCTGTGAAGGTAAGTATCTTGGATTAGAAATTCCCCAGTGCTACTTTTACACAATACCTTTTCAGAATTAGACCCATTCTTAAAAGATCTTTTCTTACTTTACAGAAAATTTTATGTTTTTTCTCCAACCTGTGGCTTTGTTACACATTACTCTGTGCTAGCTTGAGTTTAGAGCAGTCTTGTGTAGGTCAGCAGTGTCCTGGAAGACTGAAAGGTAAGAATTCCCCTGTCCCTGGGACTCCCCGGTACCCAGCTTATTGTGGCTGCCTGCACTGTCTTCTTGAGAGAGCAGGCAGGGAAGAGTTAATCTGACTGCCCAGTCCCTGCCGCTGCCAACCTGCTGCTCTTCTCCAGGCTGAGCCCAGCCTAGAGAGCAGCCGTGGCACTGGTTGAGCAGGTAGGGTAACACTTCTCTGCCTGCTCCCCCCCAAGACAGACAGTGGTGGCAGCCACAAGTAAGTATGGGAGGGGGCAGGGAGCGGGAACTTGAGATATTGGTGAAGGCAGGTGAAGGCAGTGTGCCCAATGTGGGACAGCAGAGGAGGGGTGGGTGGGGTGTTTATACTAACGTAGCCTAGAGTGGCAACACATTAGTATAATATAAGATGGGTAACCCATCAGAGAGAAATCTTGGCTTCAGTGTCATAACTTTAAGCTGCCTAAAGAGTGCTTGAAACTAGTTTCAGATGTTAATGTGCGGACAATCCAGGAGTTAAGAGCTCCAGGAGCTGCCTAAAATTGAAGTGTAGCAAGACCCTTAGATTCCACTAATCTTTGTCATGCTTTTCTTTCTTACTTGGATCATTTTTGTGAAAACAGGATTTCTTATACTTCACCACTTACCTGGTCTTCAGTGTTGGAGCTAATTTTGTCTTGTACGTTTTGTAGAGTTGTTTATACATTGTGTAACCTGAGGCCTGATTCCATTGTTGGTGCTTTCAGCTACATAAAGTACTCCCTATATATATA